AATACACGCATAGTATTCCAGTTGTTGGCCATTCTACTCTTTAGCAGAAAGAGGAGTGGATTTATTTTGCTTTCTTTAGCAAGCAACCTCACCCTCTCTCCTAGTGTTAAGGAGGGACAGTATTGTCTTTTAAATTCCTAATCCAGTCTTTTTTACTGAACTTTTCATTACTTGAGCCTTTATAACTGTTGCTACTTCATTGTGTTGCCTCAGTGTCATATGACTTCACAGCTTTGACATAAGTGGTAATGAATGAGTTTGAGTCCAATTCACATAATCTGGAAACTTTTCATCTTGGCCATAGGCCTTGAATTTTGCTTTATGGCATAACTATCACTGCAATTGGAACTAAACTTTGGAACTTTTTTCCTTGTATCCACTATTGTAAAGGATACCATTTTACTATAAAGTAGTGAAACCAGCTTTGTAACAAGGCCACTAAAATGTTTAAGTTAATTAACAAACAAAATTTTGTTTACAGTCTTGTTTCAGTACAAAGTACTCTACTAAAATGAACCTATCTGAACCTAGATAGATTTTGTTTGTTTTTAATGAAGGATAGGGTATTAAGCCCATGTGTGAAAAGAATGATTATCTAACACAATCAAGTTTTTAAATATAGAATTCTTGGCAAAATTAAAGATCCACCTGTTTGATACCTGTGTTGAAAAGCTGAATTTTCCTGAAGAATTTATAAAACTGACTTAAAAAAAAAAAATGTATCCATACAAAATGTGAGCTTTGTAATGCTTTGCCAGAGTCAGAAAGACCAAGAGTAATCATGTAAATTATTGAAAATTACCATTGTCTGGCATGATTTCTCCATGGCTTCAGAAATTGCAGTATATGAGGAGGGAGTGTTCTTGGTTGGCCCAGTTCCTTCTTTTTCTGTTTATTTCACTTATCCTCACGTAAACATACCATCTCTCCTTACAATAATAGATCATTTCTTGGGAATCATCTTAAGATGAAGAGCCTTTTTATTAGAAACTTATAACAGTCATCTGTTTTCTTGTGAGGTAAAATAAGTGTGTCAAATCTCTTACAGATTTGGGGCGCCTGGGTGGCTCAGTCGGTTAAGCGGCCGACT